TAAAGTTCCCAAGGTTGAGAAACACTGCTTTAGACTATTAGTTCTGCAATTACTGCTTATTGTTTGCAGTTCTTGGGCTGAGATAAATGTGCCAAAGGGTTTCCAATTGCTAGAGTTACACAAAAAGTCTTGTTGACTGCCATTTCATGAGAGTCACAGGAGGAGAGTAAGTCAGAATTGTGCCTGAGCTTATGTATGCAAGAATACATGTTTGTGCTCCAATGCAATTCATCAGCTAATTACAGTTTTAAAAGTTGTGGCAAATGAAATGAAACACGTTTATTTCTCAGCCCAGCTCTTGTTTACCTCACAGTGTTTAGAAGGAAAACTTTAAGCAACTCTTTCATGCTACGCTATTTTTAAAAAATGCGGCTCTTCCCGGTAATGTTTTTTGTCCCAATTATGGACTTATCAATAGCGTTGGACCAACAGTATAGCAGCAGACACAAGCAGATTCAGCTTGAGCAGTTGATGTTTGTTCCAGGAACTGAACTTTGTAACTTCAAAATTGGCAAGTAAATATACAGATGTTGGAAGCTAAGCCCAACACACTCAGTTTTTCCCCCCTAATGGGACTTAGAGGAATCTAGGCCTTGGCTTAATCACTGAAGCAGAGGCCATGTGCCACTTCCCACAGAGCATTGAAACTGCAGCAGGCTACATTCACTGTCAAGCCAACTATTCAGTCATTTTCTCAGTTCTTCCCTAGTTGCAAATATTCTGTAATCTTTTAGCACCAATGTTGTGTTGTCATTTATGAAGCTGACCAATTGTGTGTATAAGTGCATGGACGTGCATGTGCGCGCACACACACACACAAATGAATTGGGACTATGGTTCAAGTTCTGAGTAAGTTATTCTCCAAGTCTGGATATTAGCTCTAATTTTGCTTTGTCTGCTTTGCCCAATTTGGTGCCTTCAGGTGTGTTGGACTTCAACAAACAACTTTGGTTGGGAATTGGTCCAGAATTCAAACACATCTGAAGGGCACCAAACTGGCCTCGGCTTGCTCCTCTGTTGCAACACCAGCTTAATGGTACTGACTCACCTCTTTGCACTGATGTAACATGATGAATCTGTCCGATAATGAGGGAGGACTTGGCTAGGCCAAGTAGCCTGTTCTTCAAAAATTAGAAGTTAAATATTATTATCTGCTAATAGCCTGTGATCAAATTATTGTGACAAGGAACAAAAGAAGAATTGGCAGTCACTAATTTACAAGCATAACCTCTATCTGAGGCTGATTACCCTTCTTACCTTTTTGATAGCTAAACTTCTCCCAAAGGAGGAAGTTACAACATGGTAGATTATCTAAATACATAAGATTCTTTGTTGACATACGGTTATAGAATTCTGATGCCATTTACTACTTTGTATAAGGTCTCATTTTTGATCCAGGAATTGCCTTTGTTCAAAAACAGCTGAAAGGTAACCTAGTAACTTGATTAATTTTGACAAATAAGCATCCCTAAGTTGGGTATCTTTGTACTTCATGCTCTTTTCCTGTGGAAATGTTCTCCTACCTAATTCATTCATATTTGATAGTATTTATGGATACAAGTTGTTTCAGATTCATCAGTTGGGGTGCAGCACACAGGCAGATGACAGATACTGTTTCATCCAATGTCGCTATTTATCCTCACCAACCTCTCAGCCAATTTTGTTGTTTGTTTGCTTTCAACCCAGATGGACATGGATATTTGCATCAGTATTTGCCTGTCCATAGCAACATCAAATCTTCACAAGCCAGGTATCCAGTCTCTCTTGCAACCCTGGGCTCATCATCATCTCGCCCTTGACTCTGCCTTGCCAGCTTTGGCAGCAAGGGGAGCAGAACCTTTTTCTGGCTCATGATCACACTTGGCATTGCATGATCGGAGTAAAAAGGGGGGAAAAAATCAATGGGAGCTGGTGGTGTAGGGATTAAGATATTGGATGGGAACTGGGGACATGCAAGAGCACATCCTCACTTGCCCATGGAGCACACCAGGGTTGACTGGGCCTCGCAAGTTTGTTGTGGGGAATAAAATAAATAGAAAACTAACTTGAGTTCCCAGAAGAAGCATGGAATATAAAAGCAATGCAAATGAATATTATATTACATGCTTAATAATAACAGTAACAGTAACAGGAGCACCACCAGCAAGTGAATGGATGCAGAAAGATAGTTAGCCTCTCCATCTCCAAGTGGATTAAGAGCCCATGTCTTCAGTTCCAAACACACATCATTGAAAGTTCAGGGAAATCAACGGGATTACAATGCAAATAATTTAAATCAGTGGTTGGTTATCCCCCTGCTCTGATTAAATTCCCAACTGCTCTCATCTCTGCTAAGCCTAGCTTAACATGTGTTCCACGAGGAGCCTAGCTGGTTTGTGCTCTGATTGGGATGACTCATTTGCTAATGGCTATTTTTGTGACCAAGACCTCTTCCAGTGAACCAGGGTTACTGCTCTTTTCCACACATAACATGAAAAATATCCTTCCACGAAGCCGAGTGAGCAAGAGCCCATCTGCTGGAACTTGGCTCTTGTTCACTTAAGCATTACACATGCCCTTTGGTAAAGCAAACCACCTGTTGCCTGTGCACAATTTAGCCCCAAGCATTCTAAATGTTTCTCGGAGGAGGAAATCCATCCAAACCACTGATGGGGAGTGACAACCTTGGCATTCTTTTCAACTCCATTTGCTGGAGTGCCATTTATTGTTCTCTCCACAAAGCCCTGTGGTCTCTAGTGGAGTTTTTGCCCCTGCTAACAAAAACAGAAAAGGGGGTCTGAACAATGCCAAAAGCAAACAGCTTTTGCATTTCCCAATTCTCTCCTTCCCCTTTTCCCCAAGTCACCATTCTAGAACCTAAGAAAATATATGGCAAATAAAAACAGGCTAGTGGGAGAAGGAGTATCGCACACTTTGCAGCATGAGGTAGTGAAATAAGCTGCTAAACTAATCTATCTTGTATTTGGTTTCTGGCCTGGGACCAAAAATTTACTTGTACTTAAATGTTTTATTTTTAGAAATGCAAGCTAATCAGGAAGTCTGTGCCAAATGTCCCTTTCAGGCCAGCTCTCTTGAAGATTTTTTCACTGTGGGGTTTTGCCACCTTTGTGAGGCTACAAATATAGTCCTTTGAGTTTACCCTTTGCGTGGGAAGAGAATGGAAAGATCCCACCTGCAAAAAGTCTGCACAGCTGCTTTGCGTGAGATAGCCGCCTTCTCACCATGAGAGGAGAGGGGAGCAAAATTAGATGTCCCCAAATGCTGGCAAAGGGGGAGTCACTGCTTTGGTTGAACTTAGATCAAAAGTAATCCAAACTGAATGTTAAGTTTCTGCTGCCCTAGGACTTTAGGAAAAAAAGAAGAAGAAGAAGAGGAGGCTATTACTGGGAACTCCAATATAACACCCGTTATACCAGTGTGCTCTTAGAATATTCCCTAGCTGCACCTGATTGGATTGCTGTGCATGTTTGAATTGCAAATAAACCAATAAATGGGAAAAACAAAACAAAACTACAGACTCCAATATAATACTGATTTTCAAGCGTCCTGTTAAGCTTCAGATGTACCCTGGAGACATTCCTGGAAAAACAAAAATGGTGGGTGTTGGCAGCCTGGTGCCAGAGGTAAGCTAAGCGGGTAGAGAATATCTTGGAAGACCAGCAGGATGGGTTGAGGAGCAGAGTCCCCTGCTGGCCTTCTGGTAGACTGGCAGGATTTTCAGATCTGGGCTGTAAAAAAGCAGAAAGACTCCCAGATAGCAACAGAGCAATACAGAAAACACTAACTCCTTATGGCCATCCCGTAGTCAGCCAGAATTTTGATGTCCAAATCTGGCTATTCTAAGTTTGTGACTGGCCATGGCAGCAATTTTGAAAAAGCCCATTGTGGGTTTTACAATTCCAAAAGTGCTCTCTGTATTACTGAAACAACTATGCTAAGATAACATCCTTCTGAAGTCTGGTAATATGTTAGGTGTATCATAAACAGAAAGAAATAGTTTGGAACTCAGAGTGCTCACCACAAGAAATTTACAGTTGTAGACAGCAATACAGTATTTGACTTTCTTCCCCTATCTCCCTTTCCCTTACATTTCTGTGCATGAGCAGGGCAATTTTGTTAAAATGTTTTTTGGAGCCATTTTAGTACAACAAATATTTTAATACCAGTTTTATGGAAGATACTGCACTATTTGGAAAAGGGAGGGTAGTGTAAATCTCTAAGAAACCTTGTTAATCAGCAGTATAACAACTTTAATCAGTATATAAATGCAATCAAGAAAAGCAATGATTCTTATACTACATAAGGCAAACAATTTGGATTTTTATATCCAACCTAGTATTATGGTTAATTTGCTTGAATGTTAATGTAATCATGGATAAATCAGTATGTCAGAGAAGGCTTACTGATGCTGTTTTTGGCCATTTCGGAAGCTGATTTATATTAATCTAGAAAGAGCGCTGTTGGAAGCCAGGTGATACTGAAATTAATCTAGTCTATTGATCATTTGTGTAGTAAAAATGAATAAATGCTTTGATTCAGGCAAAATTTCTGGTTACACACATGTACTGACAACATACGCACAGATCCTGG